GCACAGCTAGCCAGAAGGTAGTTTATGCGGATGTGGAATATGAACACAGAATTGGTCGAAGAACCCTTCAGATGGGATCAGCGATCGTATTCAATAGTTCTACGAATAATGGTAATCTACCTATCTTAGATGAGATTCAGCAATTTCAGGACGATCATATTGTGTTTCATCTCATAAAATGCTGTCTTTGTGTGTTGAATCAGTTGTTCAGAAATTGCAACAGCAGGGGACTGTGTTGCATTTTGAGAAATATGGATCTGACCCTCAACCAAATATAGGTATTTTCGGAAGTTCCCTAGTCATCTTTGTTTGATTTTCAGTGCATCACCTTATATAGGCTTCTTGAGCATTGGAAAGAGCTAATAAAGAAGGATTTGAAACTCATAAAAGGTCTCTATGTTTCAATTTTTTCAGGTCGCACGAATGGTACTGTAGAAAATGGTAATTCAAAAAAGAATGATGAATTAGCATCTCTTACTACTGCTAAATCATCAAATACAGAAAACTGGCGTACTGTTACATGTACTATTTACTCACGTGCATCTAGGTCATATGCTGGTCACTGACTTATACCAGTGAGTCTCGTTGTAAATCTTGTGAGCCTCTTGTTTGTCAAAATTTTCCTTTCGACTAATTTGAGCTTTGATTTTATACCTTTAACAAGGTTTATATTAGAGTGTAAACAACCTGGAATTAGTTGGCAAGTACGATCTAACTTTGATTTTTGAGTTGACTTTTCAGTTCATATTTTTTCTAGCTCCGGTGAATATCGCATCATCCAGTTGCTTGGAAATTCGTATACAAAATTTCTTCATGGTGCGGACGAGACTTATTCCTACGAGCTTGAAAAGAACTGAGATGCTAATCGCATGTTAGCCAGCTTAAACTAAGGTATATGACTAGAGAGTGGATTGAAACCGGTATTAATGATTGGCAAGGTGAGTCTCTTTTAGAAGACGCACGTACGGTGTATCTGACACTGTAGGATCCGTCTGCAACCATTTGCTGGCACGTGCCGGCTGTTTCAACTCCTTGAAGTGAACATTTCAGGTTTTTGATCGTTATTCGAGTATTTCTGGTAGCTCTCCAGCTCCTTTCGGATACCTCAAAACAGCAACTTATTCATCCTATGAGAATTTATTCATAATGCCTTACAATTATCCACTTTTACTTCTCTAATAGATAAAATTGAAAGTAATTTCAAAACTAAAAACAACTAGTAATGGAGAATGTGTCTAGAAAAATGCTTCACAGCAGTACCAAGTTTATTATTTGAGTTGAAAACTGATAACACTTTGGTTGATAAAATGTATTTACACTTTGATGACAAGTTTTTACAAAAATAAAACGACAAAACTATGTTATCAGTTTGATTGTCATTCTCGGCCTTTCATTTCTCAGCAGTATCTGATTCTGATCACAATATATCAGTTTACATTCTACTTGGCTAGAATACAGTTACACATTTGTCATGTTAATTTCGGTCAAGAAATTCCTACTAATGTCAGTCAGTACGAATGTCTTAACAAGTCGCTAGAAAATTAGAATTTGAAACTAATACGTGCTTGATTATTTTTTAGCACAAAATATGAAGTAAGTACAACCAACATCAGTTTTATTGCTTTCAAATGCCTTTTATAGCTTTTGTGCTTATGACATTGCAAAAATTTGCCTCTTAATC